GAACTTTTTATGGAGGTTGACAGTATTTTCTGATTCATGGAGTGATAGAAAGAGATATCCAATATTACATCCGTATAAAAACCTTTGTCTCAAATATAAACAACATGAAACAAGGATTTTGAACCTGGTTGTATACAATGTTCCGATTTCTATTCTAGAAAATGTATATCAAAACTTGTTATATTCACCTAGTGTCTCCCCTTAAGACAGTAAGAAAAAAAAAATGAATAGTTTAAAATGAAAACATTTAGCAGTCACTTGGATGTAAAACATAATATCCATTGAAATTGGTGGGAAGATTAAGCATAGCAGTAAGGTCCTATACATCAATCTCAGCCCTTTTGCAAAACTATAGAAGACTTTCACAGTTACGTAATATTCTTCTCAGTGACGATTGTCCAGTTATGAGCATCCTACTGGGTTCTGACAGGAAAATGTGCTGCTGATGATTTATATAACATAACCACCCTGACATGATACTGAATGTAGTTGCCATTTCATATTGTTTTTGAGTTGTAAGAGGGCGGAGCTGTGTACCTTATCTGAGTGGTTTCCAATCCAACGAGTCATTGTGGTTTAATTTCCATAAAAACAAAAGCATGAGCTCTCATGGCAAATGGTCCCTCTCACCTGTCTGTGATGTAGGTCCACAGCGCGTCCCGTCAGCCGGTGGAGCTGAGGTCAAAGTTGAGAATGGGGACGTCTCTTCGCCGTTCCTCTTACGCCCTCTCTCAGGGGGCCGGGGCCGGGCGCCACATCACTTCAGGGACCTGCATCCGCAGCACCGTGCCGACGGTGGATGAGAAGGTGACTGCAAGTAACAACCCCACTGACTCACAAGTCCAGATTCACATGAAGAACAATAATAATGGAACAAATATTTGATAACATAGATTGTTGCTGCAACATAGAATTTGAAAGATGATTCGTCATGTGTTTGTACTGCAAACATGTTTTTGTGCGCAATTGTTAGTAGAGCCTGCACTCATCTTTTGTATTGCTACTTTTTCCAATAAAGTATATGATATAATATACAAAATACAGTTTGTACTATACATCTTGTTTATTGTCTTTACATAGAGAATTTACCTCTACATGAACATCTCTGATCTTTCCTGTTTCACACTGTTGTGGTAAAAATCAAACTTCTATCTGCGGGGGTCTCGGGGGATTTCCTTTGAAGATCAAACCAAACACAATAAACCGGACAGCACATCTTTGTTTTACAATTGTTTTATTTGTTAATTTATTTCAAAACACGCAATTTTACCCATATTATCCTTCTAAGTTTTTATTTTTCTGTAACAGTTATTACTCAGATTTTTTTCCTTCACAAAAGTCTCAACTAGAGTGAAACTAAAAGTCCTCCACAGGCTCTCCGGCTTCTGCAGTGGGAGGAGGGAAAAGAGGCTTTCTGACCAGACGTAGTGAGTGGGTTTACCCCTTGTTTCTGTGTGGTTGAAGGTGTGTGTGTGTGGAGGGGGGGGGGGGGAGACTACACCAGGGTATGTATGTGTGTTTTAAGTGCAAGAGGTGGAATGTCCACATGGCCGGTAAATCACAGGACCCGTAGAGCAGCCCAGAGAGCTCAACCTTGTCAGGTAGCCAGATTGTCATACCTCTGATTTCATCTTTGGTTTCAGCAAACACTCTCAAAAGGCAGACTCACCCTCTCCAGCATGTGCCTGTGTCTGTTTGTGTGTCTGTCTGTCGGTCCGAGTGCAATATAAGCCACCGTCTCCAGACGACTTTGTAAACTTAGGTAAGTACAATGTAAGCATCTTTGCATTGATTGTGGCCCTTCCTTGGCGCTGGGGACAAAGACAGTCGAACATTGTAGAACAATGGAGCCATGAGCGGGGAGGATCAGCTTGCAAACATCAACATGGACTCCATTTTGATGTCAATGGAAGTTTGGGGCATTCATGAAACGCTGTATGACATCAGTGTGGTGAAAAAATGGGGCGCTGTAGTGCTCTCCTCTCCCCAGCCACTCTCTACTGTACCCTGAGTGACTGGGGTGCCTCTGGGCTCAGGGGTGTGGGGGGGGTCATGGAGGTCAAAGTGTGAGCGGGAGTGTCGTAATGTTGAGGGATGGGGTAGAGGGTTGTACACTCTGACCCAGCAGCAACGATTAAGATTGGGGGGGGTCAGGTGTTTGCATAGTTCTCTGTGCAAAAGCCACCAACCGGAGCCATTTTTATTCCTCGCGGCTGGTTACATCATCGTTAGATTAGCAGGAAGTCGTGGCGGGTGATGGGAAGTATGTTCTTTGCACCACAGCTCTTGTTCTCTACTCCTGCAGTGCACTACATTGTGGCAGTAGGGGGGGGGGGGGGTGCAGGAGGGTGAAAAGTGACAGCAGATGAGGAGGAAGTGAATTTGAAATGTTTCGGTTTGGAGTGTTGTGTAACCGAGTGGGTCGGGAAGATGGGTGTTTTGGGAGAGCGGGGGGCGATGGGGCAGTCGTTTGGCAGTCGGGCACTACAGCTCGTCACAATTCAGAGTGCCTCTTTTCCCTTGATTTTGTTCTTTCGTCCTCCCCCTCCTCTCCACTGGCCTGCCCTCTCTCTACCTTTTTTTTCTTGTTTTGAAACTGATTGTCTTCTACCATCACAAAGACACTTGGTTCTGATTGATTAACAGGTAACAGAAGAGGGAGAGCACAGTGTGACTGGGGGTGTCTACACCAGTCCCATTGGCGACATTCGATCCCACAGTGAAATGACACGCACATACGCTGTTTGACAGTAAATGCTGGGGACATTTCGTGCCGGATCATCAGTTGCCAAATGGTACTGCGGTTGGTTGGTCGGTCAGTCAGTAAGAAATGGTTTCAAATTTTCGCATGACAAATATTGCAACCCATAGCAAAGGAACATAAAAAAAACAAAAAAAACACTTTGTCTTCCACGTAGGTACAAATGAACACACGTACACGGATTGAAGAAAAGCATGTAGACAGACATACAGGTATATTCAAGGCCGCTCGGGCCTGTGTGTGTCCCTCTGATTAACTCCAAGTAAACAGCCCGTCTTTGGAAAAGCAAGACACACATTTCAGGACCCGAGTGAGGACCGCAAGCTGAGGAATGAAGATTGAATGCTATTGATTGGGAGGAGAGGAGTTTGACCTCCCCCAGCACACACTGCCCCCTACTGTCTGGATTTATATACATCAAAGAAACAGGGGGATAGGGGAAGGGTTGCAACAACACATGCACACAACCAGTGAATCCAACAGTGACGGAAATTCTAAAAACAAGGACCCCTCCAACGCCGAAAACCCAAATCCTCCCACCCTTTTTTTTTTTTGTTTGTTTTGAATACCAAAATATCCCCCACCCCTTCTCCACCCACTCCCACGTCTTTCCATCCTCCTCCTCTCCCCACAAAATCACAGGTCATTCCTGTTGGTTTCTATACAGTTATACAATATCCATGCACAAAAGAAAAAAGCGCACCTTCTTTTCAATAGGAGGTGCTGGTCTTTAATATTCTAAGAACATCAGGAGCACTTGAACACACCCAGGAACCTTCAAAAGTAACTGTGATATTGGGTTGTTTTTTTTTCAGAGAAAAGACAAAATTAAAGGCAGAAGAAAGCTAACAATGACTAAAAATGTTATTCCTCCTTTGGTTTAACATCGCATCTTTGGTAAAGAATTCAGCCCAAATCATATTTTTGTCATTTCTTTTGTTTTTTTTGTTTTTCTTATTTTCCTTTAAACGTACCCGCCTTGGACAGAGCTTTGAAATAAACATCTAAAGTGAGCAGCTCCTGCCCCTCTCTCTCGATTCTAGCCTTCGCTTCTGTCTCTTCTTTTCTCACGGAACCCTTCACAGAAACATTCACAATGTCTTTCCCTTTATGAAAACAGTAAAGTACATGCCGTAGCAAAAACAAACAAGAGAACATACGAGAAAAATGAGCAAACAAATAAAAGGAATTTAACAGTATAAAGCTTCAAGTCACAAGTTCCAAAACTAACTATCATAGTATCATAGTTTCATAATCATTGTTATCATTAGCAGTATTATTTTCAGTTTTAAATTACATAAAGTTTACATGAAAGGTTTTTGAGGTATTTCAGAATTAATTGTCAACACAAGCCTACCGGGTCTTAGCACTAGCCAGGGGGAGAGGTTGACTGGACAGACGAGGTGGAGGGAGGAGAGAATTTGTGTCTATAACCTGTCAGTGAGTCTTCCACACTTTTCTAGTGAAGCCTCTGTGCTTGCACGCAGTGGAGATAGAGAGAGACATTAAGTGTTAAGGTGTCACAACTACAGCCCCGCGAGCGCCTAGAGCCTCGGCCTTTCTACCCCCGTCTTTCTCTGTTACACAAAAATATCTCTGTTGCGAGAGAGGTAAAGTGGCCGAGAGTCTGAGCACACCGGGCGGAGAGGATAAAATAAGAAAGAAAACGTAAAGGCTCTGAGCTACTAGAAGATCAACGATACAGTAACAAAGACTCTGACAGATTAAGGAGTAACATATAATTTTGTTTCAAATAAATAGTGTATAGAAAATGTTTTATAGACTTTCTACATGATAAAGTGCTTGTATTCTAGTGTATCAAGATGGAAAGTCAATATGGGAGAAAATGCTGACACAGCCCCCACTCTGTGTCCCTCTCTTTGCCCCCCCCCCCCCTCGCTTTCCGTCCATCCAATTATGGGTGCGTTATGTGAATGTGAGTGCATGTTTGTAAATTGGTGTGCAGCTATGTGCATGCACCCGCATGGCGGTGTGTGCGTGTGTGTGTGTGTGTTTCCAGTGCAGTCCCACCCGTGGTTGAAGGGAAAAGGCACTCAACTCTGTCTGCAAGGCAGCCACCTCCTCCTGTGTGGCACGATGCAGTCTGACTGCGCTGTTTGTATGTGTGTGTGTGTGTGTGTGTGTGTGTGTGTGTGTGTGTGTGTGTGTGAGAGATATCAGTCTGTCTGTACAGTTTTGGGCAAAGAGTGGGAAAGGGGGGTTTTTTTTTTTTTTTTTTTGGGGTTTGTGTCCCCCTAGGCAGTTTGGGACCGGTAGGCTGCAGTATCTTTGGTATCAGTGGCGGTTTCACAAACCACTCAGCCTAGTGAGGTAGCCACATTGGTTCTCACTACAAACAAATGTCATTTTGTCAGCCTAATACCTAGAGCTGAATCTAGCTATTTACCTATGCTCACTGAACTGTATACCACAAATCGATTTTCGCTCATCATCCTTTGGCGACGTTAACTCACTGCTTACAGCAACGTGAAGTTAGTCAGTACCTCTCAATCAACTCATCCACAATGACCATCTCTTATCTAATCTGCACCGCTAATCTGACTACATTGTTGGAAATGCTACAGTTGCATCTTAAGACCATACAGATAACAATTGAGTCCCGAGCGTTACCCCCACCCGCCCTACGATAAAAACGCACCGAATCAGCCAGGACATTTGGAGGTCATGTTTTGTCCCCCTCCGTTTTACCCGGGTTCTGGGGGCTCAGCTTAAAGGGGGGCTGAGGGTACCACAGTTCTGACATGAAATGCCAAAAGAGAGAGAGCGTCCGTCGTTTATTTGTCTCTTCAGCAGCTCCCTGTTTTTCTTGCTCCCGGTAAATGTCTCCTCCGAGTCTTTATTCACATAGAATGCAAAAAACGAAACAAGAAATCCTTCGTTGGCCTCGGTCCTTGCATCCCTCTTTTTTTTTTTCCTTTTAAAAAGTCCTTCCTTTTTTTGTTTTTGATTTATCAACAAGGTGCCTTACTTATGCACAACAGAGCACAATAGTAACCAGAAATAGAAACTTTGTGTCTATGGTACTAATTAAATACCCGCATCAATATAGAGAGGAAGAGAGAAAGAGAGGGGGGGGGGGGCAATGGGGTTAGAGGGACAGAGGAGGTAGAGAACCAAAGATAGAATGAGAGATCTTTCTTCTGCTTCAAAATGTGTCCAGTTATGTGTTGGAGACATTTTCATTTGTAACACATACTCTGTCTGTGTGTGTGTGTGTGTGTGTGTGTGTGTGTGTGTGTGTGTGTGTGTGTGTGTGTGTGAGTGAGTGTGTGAGTGAGTGGTATCTTTGTCATTTGAGGTTTGGTTATTGTATGCCTTAAAATCTGATTCTTTTTTTTTCATTTTTTTACTAAAAAAGTATATTTTAATTCAGATAAAAGCTGATTGTTGGTTGCTATGGCACACACCGCCCGTCATCAGTGGGGCGCACTGTAGCTGTGTGTGAACCCTAGTACCATATTCTCTGATTCGCATTAAGGCAGTAAGCATTGGCACTAATTATTGTAGCATTTTGACAGCTGAGTGTGGTGGTTAGCTTTGGGTTAGCTACTCATAACCCTTGTGTGGGAATAACCAGGAGATTTGGTTTGAATTACATCTGTTAAAAGCTTCTTTTTTCTTTTTTTGCAAACAGATGGGATGGAAGAATGATTTGACAAAATATGAAGCCTCCTAAAATAATATAAATGAAACCTCCAGTACACCTCAAATGTGTCTGTCTCACTAAGCCTGTCTGTTACTTTTTTACTCTGTGGTACTTCTCTATCCCGTCTTTGTGTGATTTCTGCACTCTATTTTGTGGATTCTTGAAGATTTGGATCGGCTAAACAAATCCCTGCCTTTGCTAAATCCTTGCGTTTTCAGCATTCAGTTTAACCATCCCCCCTCCTCCGGCTTCACCAGTGCTGGTTGGATGAGGAACAACAATAGGATAATGGTTAGCTATTGATCTGCCTTCAAAGAGCTGCGAGGGCCTGAATGTGTTGTGCCTTGACTTCTCAGCATCTAGTGGCTCCTTCCCTCCTTCTCCTCTGCTCTGAGCCCCCATTGCTCCGCTGGATACAGGTCTCTGCTATCGACAGCAGGGGGCACTGTTGCTCTGCCAGGACTTTGGAGGGGGAGCTGTGCTGCTGCTGCTGCTGCTGTTATGAGGCCTTTGTGTCCCCATCTCCAGTGGGTTCTGTGTGCTCCTCTTACATTCTGCTTTTCATATGCAGCTGTAATGTAGTTGGCTGGATGCCCGAACGTGTTGTTGTCGCTTGGTTCTCGGTTATTGATCAGAGGAAAAGCTCCCAGCAGAACAAAGAGCATGCCCAGACATCTCGCCCGCCTCTCCTGTTGGTCAGAGAAACACAGACTCTAGGCTCAGGCAGAGAGTAACAATGACATGTCTCCCTACAGGCCTCCAACATCTGTGCAAAAATATATAGACCTGGGCCTGGAAGACCTGAGTATCTCCTGCCGAGCGTCTTGAGTTTCACCTTCAGGAGGGGTCAAGGCCCCGCTCTCTCTGTCGGCATCGATTCATTTTTCAATTCATTAGTTTGCCGTATGATCGGGCTGAGCTGCTCTCTGAAATGGCTGGCCATCAGGGAATACCTTTGGCCGAGGAATGAAGGAGACTACGGGAGGAAGGGGGGGGGTGTAGAGGCGGTGAATTAGAAAGCCGTGTTGGTTTTTTTCATAGGCTGCGTTGTTTTCTTTATGACGGCCTTGTGTGTGCAGGATGGGGCTTGGATAATAAGGCTATGTGCTGTTCTGTTGTCAGATTTATTGCCGTTCTTTCGCCCTTGTTGCTTCCGTGTGCCGGCATGGAGGGGATGAGAGAGGGACTAAAGAGGCAGACATAAAGGAGGTGAGTTGGAAGAAAAAGCAGAGTCTGTGGCTACTTGGGTTGGTGAAGGAGGCCGGCAAATGTGTCTCGATGCCCGTCCAACAAAAACATCAAAATCTTTGGTGTCTCTTTACTTTTGTCAGATGCCATAAAAATGATTTTCTTTCAAAAAAGACAGAATCAATGATTGTCCTTATGTGAGTAATGCAGAGTGGACCTGACTTCATGATTCACCTTTTAGATTATGCTCGTTTCAGGTGAGAGCTTGAAATTCTGACTGACAAAAGAGATGATTGCATGGCACAAAGGATTTTTTTGGGCAGAGGACGCAGTCAGATGGTCCAGGCCAGGTGGGGTTGTTATAGACAGGTTTCACAGCCAATTTTCCATGTTGCCCGTTCTTCCAACCTGGTTCCCTGACCCCCCGAAGGTCCTCTCCTCCTCTCAGGCCTTGGAGAAGGTGGTGGCGGATGTGCCCGGCTGGCCGGGGCTGGCGCCGTGGTCGTCGTGCCAGCGGTCCACGCAGCGGCGCCGCGCGTTCATAAAGAAGTTGCTGACGGTGCTGAGCTCCAGGCCGAGCTGCTGGGAGATGGTGATCTGCATTTCCTTGGATGGACGCTTGTTCTCCTTGAAGATGGCGATGAGAGTGCGGCGCTGCAGGTCGGTGAAGACCAGACGCTGTTTCTTTGGCGCCGTGTTGCGGTCCTTGTGTTGCTCCTGTTCTTTGCGCTTGCAGGCTTGGTGTGGATGGCAGCGGTGGGAGGGATGGGGATGAGAGTGGGAGGCAAAGAGGGGAAAGAGAACACAAAGCAAGGTAAATATACAAAAGTGATTATTTTCCTGATTAGATGGCAAAGACAGAAGGTAGAGGGAAGTAAAGTAACTAAATGTACAATTAGCCAATACTTAAACACATAAAAACTACTTTGTACACCAGCAGAGATTCTACAGCTCCATCTCTATTGCCATATTAAAGTTGATTTAAAGCTAATCCATGCCTCCTGCCCAGTGGGAATATTCCTTCCATCCTGCAGAGTGCAGACAGGGAGCCAGCCTGCGGTGAGAGAAAGATGGGGTGAGGAGGAGGAGGAGGAGGAGGGGGGTGGGGGGTGAGACTGGCTGTTGCCTGCTAGCTGGAGACACTGCTGTTTGATTCAATATTAATGCAGTTTGAGTCGCAATGGGGGACTGAGTGACTGTTGCACAAAAGTAAGCATTTTGTGTTTTTGTGTGTGTAGTTGTGTGGAAATGAGAGATAGAGGGGCAGACGCAGGGAAAGAAAAGGTTTGGAGAGAAAAGAACAGAAAAGGTGGAGGAGTAAGACAAAGTGTGCGCATGTGTGTGTGTGTGTGTGTGTGTGTGTGTGTGTGTGTGTGTGTGTGT